GAAAAGCTTCGCCTATTACGCACTGAAACGTACTGTAAGCGAAAATGCTCATTGCGATACCTTTATCTGTAGGATGATCTCGCTTATATCTATACCCTCTGCAATAGGTAAAATTCGCTTACCCAAATGTTCTTTTTAATCCTCGACGTAGAGCGTTGAAGAGCATACTTCGGTTTGGATTGCAGCAAAACCCAACCAGATCTTCTCCTCGTTACTGTGGGATTACGGTAAATCTTCAGCACACTGGCCATGAAGCAGCTGATATTCAGGAAAGTTCAAAAACCTAAAAAACTTGTATCGAGGTTCACACACTTGATGATGAAAACACTATTTAGACGTGAAGGTAGATTTTTGAGTTTCACGAAAACATAATTTCTTCTCAAAAAGTTGTGGACTTCAAATCTCTTACTACAGATGAACAACGTAAATGATTCTGTGGAAAAGTTTCCAGTTACTTGAGAACTTTCTCAAACTTCCATTTCTGACGTAAAAAAACTTGTTAGTTTCTCATCACAATCCGTGAAAGGAACATGTTGAAGTTTTTAACACTTTTGAACTACGAAGCAGGAATTTGATAGGCATTGCTCCTAGAGTTCAGTCTTACTAACCAGCAGAAATAGCAGCACTTTCTCCGAATTCTAAAAGTAAAATTCTAAGAAACTGATTCTAAATTCTGAAGACCAACTACGCAAATAAGATTCTGCTACCATGAATCATGCATAATTGAATTGCTGAATTGCTTAGAACATAGCTGAGATTACAGCCAAGCTTTCTACTGTTTATACATTTTTCCCAGCTGCAATCGTACAAGTTCCATTTAGCCTCCTTCTCGATGAAATCTGAACACTTTCAGTGGATCCAGCAATAAAAGTATGATATTATTCCGAACGATTTCAATTGGCAAAAGTCAGAAATAGTCTTTCAAAATCCCAAAAACACTCCATTGCAATGCACATTACTCAGTTAAATAATACTCACTTAGCCGCCACTCAACTCAGCGAAGTAAAATGAGTCATTTTCTGCACAAAGAACACTTTGAAACGTTCTCTAGACCCGCCAATCGAGTTTCTTTTTCTATTGCCCGATGAGCACACGTTTATCGATTGCCTGATGGAAAACAACTTTCATTTACATTTTCAATCATTTATTAAACTAATATTAGAATATGAACAGGGAAAATAAACTGATTACTGGCACAGAATAAATGAGTTAAGAAACACAACATTTACATGAAACATTTAGAAAAAATTGAGATAAGGCAAGAATTAACTAGCACTGCAAGGTGGAATGAGGCCCTGATGAGGGCCATTGAGCTAGAGACAACATCCACGATAGATCACATTCACTTGCTAGAAGTATATTTAGTTACAGCTTTCGTACCTTCAGAAACAGCATGTTTGGCGAGTTCGCCAGGCAAAATTAAACGAACAGCAGTTTGAATTTCACGAGAAGAAATGGTGGAACGTTTGTTGTAATGGGCTAGACGAGAAGCTTCAGCAGCAATACGCTCAAAAACATCGTTGACGAACGAATTCATAATCGACATTGCCCTCGAAGAGACGCCAGTATCGGGGTGGACCTGCTTCAGCACGCGGTAGATGTAGACCGAATAGCTCTCCTTTCTGCGGTT